CAGACATGTAAGTACTGCAAGACACTTTGTCTTGCAGTATAAAAACAGTTGTGCATGCACTTTCCCCACAATGAGAGCGGATTCAGCTTGGGCCACGTGGCCCGATCCCCTACCCCCACCGTCAGTCCGCCGACAGATAAAAAAGGGAGGAATAATGGAGTTAGAGAGAGGAAAGAGGAAAAAAGGAAGTGCATGAGTTCAGTGTCGGATCCAGCAGTGGTCGGATGGAGAGCTCAATTGTTTTGCCATTTTGAATTTTCTATTGATTGACAACGCTATATCCATGACGCCGATGGTTTCCAACGATTTCATAAATTAGGATGTAAAAAATGGCAAAAGGTGGAGACCAAAGATGGGTTTTTCAGCCATTATTAAATGTAGCTAGAACAGATGCTTGAAAATATTCTCTTATTATGCCTAATGCATGTGAACTAAGTGGTTGATCAGGCACTACACCTCTCACAAATTCTCCTCTCGGACTGTGGGTGCAGGTTAGGAGCTTTGCGAACTCCCATCCTAGAAGACTAGCCTATGTTCTCGATATAGGACCCTCGCGACGGCACCCGTGGGGGGAGGAGGAGCATCGGGGAAAATTCAATAATTTTATCGAGGAACACTGCTTTGAAAAAGCATTTTTACTGTTAATTACTTTTTTTGTTTATTCACTACGAGAAGAGGAATGGTAGGCTACCACCACACTGGCGCGTTGGCTAGTAAGGGGAGTTAGGCTATCCACTTCCCTGGTACCTGACCAACTCCGTGGATGATAAGGTCTAAAAAAATTGTTTGTTTGCCCTTCTTTTTTAAAATCATAAAAACGGGCGGGTGGAAAACAATTTTTTCTTCTTTTTTTTTGTTACTCATCAGATGGAATAACCTCTAACCAGGGTCTAGAATTGCAATATCTTACATCAGACAACAACTTTAGACTATTTGTAAGGCATGTGGCAAAAAAAAATAAAGATCTAAAAAAACATTTTTTTTTTCCCTTTTTTCAGTGAGTTAGGGGCGGGTGGAGGAGGGCAAACGAACAATTTGGTTTACCTAATTGGTTTTTTGAAACATTCTAGTCTATACTATAATATTTAAAAAATGCTTTCCTGGATTACCACATTCACACAACAAGCCAAAAGACTATTAAATTTTAAAATTGCACTTGAACTGGTTTCGTTTGGCCTACAATGATGGATAGGGAAGTTTTTACAAAAAAAAACCCCAAACAAAACAAGGCGTAACATAACAACAGAATTCTAGAAAGGGATACTCATGGTACATTTTTAACTTATTCACACACTGTTGTAACAGGGACTACGTTGCTATAATACGATAATGGTTTTGTTACAAATCAATAAACTTGAACCCTTTGTAGACTGACTAACCCATTTTCTTTGGTTCGTCGCATTGTGTCTGCTCAATAATGGTAGGCCATAGCTCGCTGTCACTGCGTGTCACTTTTGGTCGCCGCTGGTACAAAATGAACTAGAAGCACTGAACATTCATCTATCGGTAATAATTCGATTTAATGTTATATCTACAGTACCGTATATTCAGCTCACTCTGACTTTCCCATTCACTCCAGTCATTCCTCAATAAGTTTGCCGTCTCCTCCTCGATTAACTCCTCATAGAGGAAACAAAAGCGCGTCTTGAAAACGACAAGTGGTAGTGCCAGTGGTACTTCATCCTGGAAATCAGACAAAAACCACCCAGGACAATAACCACCCGGACATAAACCACACAAAATGGACTATAACATTGTTAAAATGGGATGGAATGTGGGGTGCACAATGTTGGGTGGGCTTACGGTTTTTATCTAGCTTTACAATAGGATACATTACATTGTGACTTGTTATACGCCTTTAATTCATTGAACTCTTTTGACAACATGCATGTAGGTTACGCATTGTATTTGTAGATTTAAAAAATAACTGTGCTTTAAGTTCGCCATTTTTTTTTACTACAAGTGCATACTTATTTTCTGGTATGGTATGGCTAATATTTAGTACCGATATTCTAAATTTATTTTAATTTCTCAAAAGGGTTTGAGCGCTACTTTTTTTAAAAGTTACTTTCAATTAAAAAGTTTCCTTTAATAATAATAATTTGAATGAACAAAAATCAAAAACCATTAATGAATGTAGGTTAATAAGATCTTACTATTTTATCTTTTTCTGTTTTGATTGAATTGTCACTAAATTAATATTTCTTCTTATATTAATGACAGTTATAAAGAGACATGTACAGTTTTAGTAGTAAAACCAGTTTACTTCAATAATAGTGAATACAATCTAATTAAAACAGAATAATTTACTGAACAGGCTATTCATAGAAAATTGCATTTGAACTCGCCATTACATTACATTAATAGGCCTACACATTTACTATTTGTGCAACCTACAGCCCACCCCACTTTAATAATAGTATAGTCCATTTTGGGTGGTTTCTGTCCGGGTGGTTATTGTCCTGGATGGTTTATGTCCTACGCTCCTACACTGTTGGGTGCGGGGGTTAATAAGAGAGAACCCCAAGACCCCCGTCGGGACCCTAACCCATCGAGGAAGAAGATCATTATCACTGTTTTGTTTTTGCCTATTTTAAAAATTTGTCCAACAATGGTGGGGATGAGGTGGGGACCCTCTGGGGACCATGAACTCTCGGGAAGAATCAGACTGTATCTCTGCTGGCGCCGTCACTAAAAAGACGTTATTCTTTTGGATAGGCCTATAGGAAACTTCAATAAACCTATAAATAAACCTATGAACTCCATTGTGATTTTAAATGTCAATAGTATGATGATCAAAATACGTGATTGAGCTATCAAGATCATACCACCAGTCCAATTCTTAGGAGTTGTGGAGATTCTTCCTAATTTATTGTTTGTGAGGTAAAAAATGAATTATACAGTAACTGTACTATTATTGGAATAGTGACGTCATTTCTAAACACGAGCGATGAGTTGGTGTGGAGAATGTTTTTTATTGGGATCGTCATGCGTGTACTGAGTACATGTTGGATCAGAAAATGACATCCGTGTTTGAAGTTAGTATTAAGAATGTTTGAATGTTTACAGAGCAGAAATGGATCGAAAATCTATGCAGGTATTTTAACTATTTTCAAAATTTTTGAAACAAATACTGTGTTTTTAGGATGGGTTAGTTGTTTGATCACGTTCTGGAAGGCCTGGCTAGGCTAGCCCCGAATGAATAGAGCTCCTGATCCAAGAATTGCAACAGGCGAAGAGGTCGTTTTCATTCGCTAGCCATATGTTATGGTAGGATGTAAGACGCCCACACCTTAGGCCTAGGCTTAAAACAAGAAAAAAGCAAGGATTGAAGGCAAGGGATTCAACATTAATTTCATTTTAATTATATTTTAAGCGATTTTTAGTTAACCGCACATTCTTTTGTAGTGTCCACAATTATTAACCCTAGCCTAAACTTAAATTTAATTTGGTTTTTTTTTCTTTATTATTATCTAGGCCTAGGCTAGGCCTATAGGCCTACACCTAGACCTGTCCTAGCCCTAGCCTATACAATGAATGATGGATTTGAATTGAAGGGCCAGTCAAGGCTATAGGGCTAGGACTAGGTTGAGTCCATCCTGTGCCATATATGAATATATACTGTAGGCTCAAGCTAGGCTACCTAAACCTACATTTTTCACACATGAAATGAAATAGACCATTTGGACCCTGTGCAGAGAGGTATCCGAAGTTCCAAGAATTTTTTGATACTAGTTGTAGGTTTGTCATCAATATTTAGAAGTGATCTTAATGAATATGAATGTTATCTTTTAATTTATACCATTTAAAAAATTCTCTCTTTAAAGTCTACTTTCAAATTTATTCTTATAATGTAGTAATATAAGTTTTAGTTCGTTGCTTTGGCCTTGCCCACTTTCTTCTTTCTTTTTTTGCTGCTGCCTCAATTTTTTTGAAAATATAACAATCATGCATGCCATATTACTGTTATTTAAACAAATTTTTAACTTCTTTACATCCAGCTGCAATAAACTCACCAATTACTGTATAGAAGAGGGTGAAACAACAAACATTGCTCTTTTATTGAGGCTGATAGTAATTATTTTTTTTAAGTTGTGGCAAGATTTGGACCCAGGATCCAGGGTTTCGAAGCAAACATATTAATAACCATAAAGCTACATCTCCATGATTGCTCTAATTTTGATTTTTTTTTCTCTAATTATTGCATATTTCTCTGTTTTTTGGCATAAGTACGAGTGTTCATACCATTAAAGGAACATCTAAAAACGCCAATATGCATTGAAAAAAGTGTAATAATTTCATCTGGGCCACAATCCCATATTATTGTTATCTAGACCTGTTTATTCCTTATTGTAATCTAAATAGACCTCAAATTCCCTAATTTTAATTTTTGATTTTTTTTCTGTTTGTCCCATGATGTGTAATTTTTTTCCCTTTTTTTTTTGAGCTAAGAGATTTAATGATGTTTTGCATTTCTTGCACTGGTGAATGCTATGTTTACAGATTTTAATACTGTAAAAGGCAAAACTTTATTTATATCTTGTTTAGCGAAACTTCCACCCACCAATATGGATTTTAAATAAAAGTAAACTTTGTTTTAGGTCAGTTAGCACATGAAAATGTGGAAAATAAAAAAAAAAATGTTTGTTTTATTTTAATTTTTTTTTCACCCACCTTTTGTGATCAAAAATAAGTTCACTAAACAAGGTATACAAAAGTCCCACCTAAACAATTGTCTGCACTGCAGTACCTCATATCATTGTAGAGGTATTTATTTATTGATTTATATTATTTCCACACCCAAATTTGCTACTTACAGACTGGAAGGTAAACATACAAAGTTATCAAAGATCATACAAAAATAAAATATTTCACAGATACAGTAAACTCAAAACTTTCCTCTTGAACTGTTCTACACAATGAAAAAAATATCTAAATTATACTTAGTTAAGTAAACATTAAAACGAAAGGTTGTAAACATACAGCATCGCAGGAAATGGCTTCAATTGTTAATGAAAAGTCAAACAGACTGCACTATAGGTAAAATAGTGTTTGGAATGGGAAAGAAAAATTAAATTGGGGGATTAACAATATCAAAATCTATATTTATGTATTAACCATTTGTAGTGCATAATGCATAGTCTCCATGTGCTTCATGAATTGTCCAAAAGTGCATAAAAGAAAGAAGACATATAGTTTAAAGCCAGGTGCCAGAATAGAAAAAAATGTTTCATATTGCTGATTTTTCTAACACACAAAAGGGTGTTTGATGAAAACCCTGAGAATGGTTAGTGCGATACAGATTTTTGAATATTTAATAACTGGGAGAAAAGGGGCATATCTGCACTCCCCCTCCCCCAGTTTTTAACAACATAACATGTTTTTTTTCCTCTGGAGCTTGCCTTTAAGTACTTTTAAGTTAAAATTGCTATTTTTGTCTTTTGTTCTATTGTAGTTTTCAGCATTTTTTTATGTTGTGGTACGCATATTTAATAAATTTCTAAAAATAAAACAAAAAAACAGGAAAGGTGAGTTTTAAGCCTCTCTTTAAACAGAGAAATGAAGAAGACTCGCAAACATAAACTGAAAGGTAGTCCCAAAATACTAAAGGTACACCATAAATAGTAGATAGTTACAGAGAAGAAACTTTCATTAATAGAATTAATAGTCTATGAAATTTTATAGGAGTGATGTTTTGCATTACCTGACATGTTATCGTTGTACTAAAAACTCAGTACGTTCCCAAATACTTGCACCAGAAATTTGCAAGTGATTCGGATTTGAATCGAACCCAAGACCTCCAGATAACTATGAAATTTGTTCACCAATATTTGTTTCCAAAGGACACAGCACTGTCAGCAGAAGTTGAACCATTTGTACCAGGGTGTACTGGCAAGCCCATGATGTCATCTTACCACCATGGACAAGAGTATTGCAAACAGTTTGGAGGTTCCCAGTCTGCACCAAACCACATGTCACAGCCTCCACTGACAGAACTACCACGATATATGACAAGCTGTTTTCCTTTTGTTGCTGAAGGGTAGGTGTTAATAACCACATGAAAATAGGTTACAACTCAAATGAAGTCCACTAAGGGTCAAGGGAATTTTCCCCTGTCTAAACAGGCCTTGACCCCTGTTTTTTGTCAAAGACTAGGTTGTTAATTTTTCTATCCAGATAACTTTATTTTGGACCATACTAAAACATAAAAATTCTTCCCATTAACCAACCCCTCACCCTGACCGAGTCTTTAGTCTTTCTGACATCTCAGACACCTTGTGGGCAAATTTTTGGAGCCAAAACTTCTGTGTTTATGAATGCTGTTAGTGCAGAGTTCTGTTATTTATTTTGTGTCAAATTAGACCGACATGGCTACACTTTTTTGTCAGTATGACGGTGTTAAACAAGTTAATTATCTTTGTACTGTTTATCGTTACATAAAACAACATTGAAATTTTTTCACTGGTGTTATAAGTTCAGTGATTTTTTTTGGTGTAAATCATTCAGTTTTTTTCTTATCATCTAACAGCAAGTACACTTTTTATTCTATTGGGTGGGGCCTAGAAAGTGAAGCTGTTTTTATTTGTGTGGGTTTTGAACCTGGGAAAGGAAAGCAAGTATCTTAAACACCAAGCTACAGCTCCACTTCGATAATCAATCAATCAATCAATTTTTATTATCAATTCCATAGAGTAAAGTATGGGATAAAAATTATTCTGTTAAGTGTATTTTTTGCTGGTTGGAACTGTGGAGTCATTTCAATATCATTTGTTTATGTTTCAGTTCATCCAATGCAGCAAACGATGCACGCTGGCAAGGTCACTCTCAAGGTCATCCACCTCAAGGTCATTCACATCAAGGTCATCCACCTCAAGGTCATCCTCCTCAATCGTTCCACTCTTCGTATCAGCCACTTAACAACGCTAACTACTTTCAACAACCACCTCCAGTTTTTACCAATACGCACCCTCAACAGTACCCAGCTCAGCCTCACAATTTTGCGGGCCAGTACCATGAGCAGAACCAGACATATGGTCGAAGGGATAGCAGAGATTATGCTCAGTTTAATGGTCCAGCGCCGGGTCCACCACACCCGTCTTATGGTCCGTTTGTAAACCAGTGCCCACCGCCAAATCCTCCTGTTCAAGTTGCCAACTATCATTCAGGTTATAATAACATGAGTTTTGGCTCTAAGGTGGGCCACTACCCGCTAAACAATTACCACTATACTCAGAATACTTTTCAACCACCTGTACAACGCCAAGCTCAACGACATAAGGTAAGCACCAGTATACCGTAGGAAAGCCACTGGAAAAATCGTGTCAAATTTTGCCTAGGAGAGGGCGCCCTATTTTTCGAAATTAGTTCAAATTATCAAAATTTGGTGGTGTTTGAAAAAACGTTAATTCATCAAACAACTTATACTTAACAAAACAAAAATAATGGTGAAATATGTTTATAAATAGTTTAACAATACAGTGAAATACTTTTGGTGTATTTTGACCGAAACGATAAAGTGTAATTTAATAGACAATTCGTGGTACACAATTTTTACGATTTTGTGCTCTAGAAAATCGTTAATTTAAAATACAAAAAAAATTTGATCAGAAATGAATTCAAAATCTCTGCTATAAAAATTTATAATCTATAATTTAGGATATTAATATAACAAATTGAGTAGCTGGGACGCAAATCCGAAACTAAAGGGTACCTCCATTTCGTTGGACTCAAACAGTAGCGTGTACTCCATTTTGGAAACATCGGCGATCATAATCAGGAAGATCGTATTTATACAGAGCAATTCCAAGACTGTCTGTTACACCAATAATTAATATGTGTGAAATAAATATATACCATTAAAATGAATATTATTATATATTTAGTGTTCCAACTTAGTAATTTAGGGATAATATTTCTGTTGGTTTCTATTACGATTCGTATGCGAGGCTGAGGCCTAGGCTGCGCACATTGGGGGTGCCTAGCATATTCGCGTACCCGTAAATATGCAGCGAGGATAATGCCTATTTAAAAATGGCTCCAATCTTTCTGAAATCTGTATCTTGTTGGCTTGATGACAATTGTAGGCCTACATGAACTAATTACCATCCTTCACAAGTTCATCATTCACAATTTCACTCAATATATGTGATTTTTAGGACTTATAAAGGAGAACAAGACAACATTTTTATTTTTATTTTTATTAAATCATTTTCCTTCTCTATTATTTGTAATAATAATAATCATTTCATACACCTGCTTCTAAATATTAACATGAAATATAAAAACATACATATGATTATGATATGGAATATACCACACCTCTGCCCCCATCTTAAAGAAAACTCCTTCAGGGGATTTATATAAATATGGTACATTTCCATGAGAGAGACTATAGATTAGGCCGGAACTTATTACTCTAGAAGTGGGGTAGCAACATTTCATGCAGGTATTGCAAAATCTGCTTCTTATAAGAAAAATATTCATTATACGGTCTTTGAATAAGCATCAAACATCATTATTTTGCTTATTAAATATCTGTTATAAATAAATTTAATGATCATGTTTTCATAAAATGTAAACATTAAAAAGCAAAGTCAATATTAATTACTGATATTGATTTAAAATAGTGCTGCCTAGTGTTTTTCAGCATGTTTTTTTTTTTCCTTTAGGCAGGCTTTCTGAGGGATTTGAGTCATTCTGAACCTGAGTTCAGTGGTTATAAATCCTTGTCACCATTTAAAAATTCACTATCATAACCGTTGTTGATCTGCAACCGTCCAAGTCTGAATATATTTACAGTTCATTTACAATTTCATGTCCCTAAAATAAAATATATTTGCAGATTACAATAATTAATACTACTAGAATACAATGTATCAAGAGATATGCTTTGGTATTATTTTTTACTAATTAAATATTTCTCACTCAAAGTCATATGCCTGAGAATATTATTTTGTGAAACATCCCTCCTTGGCCCTAGAATAAATTAATGGCAATAAACATGAATCCCTAGGCCTGCTGTAATTATAGAATAATTATTATATAGAAATATGTGCAAGGTTTATAAACCATCCTAAACTAACACACATGGAATGCATTTGCATTCAGACGCTATTACAATGGATCGCACCGCAATTCAGCCCGCCGTAGTGCTACAGTTCTCGCTGAGCTACCACTACCTCGTGCTCACATGCTCAAAAAACTGCCTAGCATTTTACGGCCTAGAAGTATAAATAACAATTTTTGATCAGAGTTGAAACAAGTCTTACCTGACTAAATTAGGATTAAACATGATAAATCAACACTTCAAAAAAATATTGATTAGCTGGGACGCAAATCCGACTCTGGAGAAAATTGTAAATAAATTCATAGACAAGTCGTACCAGATTTTCACTATTTCGCCTATGTCAACATCAACCAGTGAATGCTTACGCCAGCGTAGGTTTTTTCGAGAAAACCCAATTGGTTAGCAAACTAGACATATTAGGAAATATTGTTAACATATAAGGAAGCCATGGGCGGGCCTTATCTATTAATGATAACCATAAATAGAGCTGATGTACTTTTGCTAAGCGACGCTAAAACGTGGTTACGCTTTGAAACGATAGGTGGCGCTGCGCAAAGCAAATGCGGAAGTAAGATCGAAAAATCGCGATATAACGGACAAATCGTCTATCGGCTTTCCAAGGTAACACAGTAATAAAAATGTAACATTATATAGTGCATATGGCAATATAGACTGCCTCTATGGGCTTTACATCTCACTTTGATTTTTGTTTATAAAAATTTATAAAAATTTGTAGAGTTGGCATGGAAATATGAAAAACAATGCTGCAGATTGGCGAAAAAATGTGCACATGAAAAATCGACAAAGCACAGAGACAAAACGGCCCGCAAAAACCTTGATGATGGTAGATGCCGCACTCCAGACCGGTGAGCTAATATCCTGCTTGTTCTTACATGCTAAAAATATATATTTTTTAATCATTCCTTTAGGAAATACAGAATAATGTGTAATTAATATTGATAAGTTTGTATACATTTTGTTTTATGATCTTAATAATTTTGATTTGTTTTAATGCAATACAGATTTTTGTCCAGATATAGCAGATAAAACTTTGGCAGATTTACCAAGTCACCTTCAAAACCCACATTTAACCACTAGGAGAAAATCCCAAGGCCAGCAAACAGGCAACGATATGTCTACAACGCAGGCAGTTTCAGCCGATATGGACAATGATAGTGGCTATTACAGCCCTAAACACATGCATGCTAGCACCTCTACTGGCGTTGGCTTGCAACAGGCAGCTGCAGTCAGTGTTGGCCTAGAGAAACATGCAGTTTTTACACCACCACAAGAAGGATTATTTTATCCTGCTTACCAACAACAACAACAACATCAGCAGACCAGCATGCCTTGCGTCATGCCAACGCCACCGCAAGCGTTTCATGGAAATCCGTGTCAATACAACATGCCCACAGTTCAGTGTGGTATGAGCTATGCAAATGCTCTTTCACAGAAAGCGGCTTACAATTTAGCAGCACAGGGCCCAAGGCTACCAAATCATTCCATCCCTAAGCCTGTAATTAACCCTACGGGCAAGAGATCTAGTACAACCGCTCAAAATCATAGAACTGCAAATGGTCCTAAACCTAAAACAGAATATGGATTAGGAAAAGGTAGAGCAGCCTATTCAAATCAGTCGAAAAGTGCTGGTGAAAGTGAGCATATTGGATACCATGGAATGAAACCACCGCAGCTGCATGATACGAGCGAGTACCCAGGCCTGCCAGGTGTCAGGAGAGATCAAGCTGAAAGCCAGGCACCTAAGCATTCCTACAGTGCTATTGTCAAGAATAAATTGACCCTCCAAGAACACGAGGCAGTAAGTACCATTTTTCTGGCAACAAAAATTAAGTTTTTCCCATTCTTTATTAAACATGAAAACTAATAATACTTATAAAGTTGTTTATGTTCAGCTTTTCTTGTGTTCTTATATGCTATTAACGGCTAAAAACGAAAACCCTGTAACGCATTCCTCTAATTAGTTTATCCTTCAGAAATGGCATATCTGGGGTTCTCCCCACATCTTCATTTTTCCCCACATCATCATTTTTCCCCGCATCATTTTTCAAAGCAAAAAAATCATGCTCAGTAGTTAAAACTGACTTCTTATCACATTATTTAATCACCTCACTTAATCATCGATCCCCCACTTCACCTTCACGTCCCATCATTCCCTCCCCCTATTTCAAGATTCCTAAATACACCACTGTCCAGATTAGTCGTTAAGCTGTTATTCATCTACACTGAATGTAATAGTAAGAGATTGTCTGCTATTATATTGACGAATTTACTTCATGTTCATGACCTTGTTGTATGTTATGTTAATAAAAGAATTTTTTGTTATTTTCTATAAAATGTGTATGTTATATTTCTTTTACAGATAGAAAGTGAGTCCAGAAATGAAAGTGAGTTAATACAGCCTGGAGAGATTATTCAACCAGAAACTCTGATGTCTCCTGACGTTGTAGCAAGTGGAATAAAAGATGGTAAGAATGCGAGGAAACGACGCAAGAAGGCTATACAAGCAGCAAAAGCAGCAGCAAGGGTAAGTCTCCTCTGGCCAGTGGTGTATTTATGAGTATTGACATAGGTTGGGGCTGATAAAGATGCAGTGTGAAAGTGGGGGTACTATATGGGGCAGTGGTGGGTTTGGCAGGTTGGGGGTGGGGCGGCGCCAGAGGTTTAAACATTTGAGTGCAATTTGTTGAATTTGTTAGCTCAGTAAAATTTATCATCTTCTGCAGAAGAACAAATTAATGTGTTTTACATTGCTCTTTTCTTATAAATTTGGGTTCATTCCTTTAATAATAAGCTCAGTTGGTAGATTAGCCAAACGATTATCGGAAGGTCTTAGGTTCAAATCCTGATGGGGTTATACGTATTCCTCAAATATTTATTATCATCATTAATTATCGCAAGTGGCGGTGTGTCGCCATACCAAAGTTACTATCATGTGATTTACTATTATTCATTGGATATTACGCATTACCTTGAGAAAAAAACATGTCCTAATGGGAAAATCCATGGGTGTTCACCATTTGGCCTCATGGCTCAGTTGGTAGAGTATCCAAACGGTAATCGGAAGGTCTTAGATTTGAATCCCGATGGGGACATGTTTTTCTCATCATTATCAATAATAACTTGAAATCGGCAATAAGTTTCAGAAATCTGTAATCAACTTCAAGTGCTTAGATGAATTCTAGCTTTTTTTATTCCTTGACTTTGCAAAATTTCTTTATTTTTATGTAAACTCTTTCCAGATTATCAATTTTCTCTGACAAAATCTGTTGTATGCCCATATATAGTCATGCTGTTCTTATATATGGTCATGCTGTGCCTATATATGGTCTTGATGTGATGTTATCATAACCATATTTAGGTATGTCACTTGTTTTTGCCAAATAAATAAAATTATTATATTTTCATGTCATATTGTTCCCATCAGGAATATTCTGAAATCACCCAAGAGCAGAAACAACTACAGGAAAACTTGAAGAAACCCAACAGACGCACCAAGATGCCAATTGAGTTTGACCTTGGTGACATGCTTGCAGCCTTAGAGGTACTGTACATTTTTCTTTAATCAGCTTGTCATGTTTTGTTTTTTTCTTAATATTGAAGCATGCAAATTAAGGTTATTAGTACTACAGTACTTCTATAATTATAGAGTGTGTTCAGTGGGCCTACGGTTTATAGTCTTGTTCTGCAGTTTAGAGAAAACTTGTTCAGTCACCAGAACCATCATGGGCAACCTTTCTGTTTGAACCAATGCCAATGTTTGGCTATAGGTTACTTAACCTGGCTTCACGTATCAGGTAAAGGATATAGTTTATTGTGCTCTACTAGTAAACAATGAGTTAAGTAAACTAATTATATATTTTTTCTTGTTTACAGAAACAACAGCAAGATGTACGTAATAATCAAGAGGCTTTGGCAGCCTCTAAGACCACTGCTAGTTCACGCACAAATACGTCTGAAGATTCTAAGGTGCGTTCTTCCTGTTTTTATCTGCCATACATGGGAGTGCAGTTTTTAGCTATGTGTTTAAGATGCTAATCTTCCGATTCCGGGATCCTGGGTTCAAATCCTACAAGCACCAGGCATTTTTCCACAATTAAAAACAACACCACTGTGTTCTTTTAAATCCTTCCAGTTACTAATAATAATTATAAAATATTAAAATGTTATAAGAAATGACAAATTAATTAAAACAAACTCAAGGGGTTTGAGAGAAAATGGATAAATTCTATTACCTAAAAGGTCACAAAATAATATCAGTAAAATTTAATTAATTTGAATAAATATTTAAAATAATATATTTTAATTTTTTTTGCTGTTGCTGTTGCAGGCTCTGAATCCACTGGATATTTCAGGACCAAGGAAGCGTGGTAAAGAACGGGAAAATCCAGTGAAGAAGAAACCGAGTGCATTAAAGAAAGTTATACTCAAAGAACGAGAGGAGAAGAAGAGACAGCGGGCCTTGGATGAGAACTGTCTATCAGATGAGTAAGTGCTTATATATTATGTATGTATCATATATAAAAACATAATGTATATTTTTTATATATACATATCTATAATCAACTCTACCTGTCTCTTATACACATCTTATATATATATATATATATATTTTCATGAAACTTTTTCCAATAACATAATGTAACAAAGACAAATAATATGATGATGAGCCGTTCTACTCTAATACATGAAACAGTAAGAAAGCAAAAGTGTGGCACTTTGAGACTAGTCAAGAAATTTTATTAAGTAACAAAAAAATATTTCAAAAATAAATTTTATTATATGTTGGAATATGTCACAATATTGCAACTCATTAATCTACAGCAGTGGATCTAGGCAGACACCTAATTAAAGAGACTTTTTCAGATTGTTATTCAAACTTAACAATTGACCAATCAGAACACGGCCAATCAGAACACAGTATATGTCCCACAAACATACATGTTGTCCCACAAACACACATTTATTGTTGCTAAGGTTTCACAAAAACAGTAGCATAAACGTTTGTAAGTGTGCATTTGTGAGACAATATGGGTGTTTGTGAGACAACATGTTTGTTTCTGAGACAACATGTGTGTTTGTGAGACAGTGTGTGTGTTTGTGGGACAACATGTGTTTGTTTGTGAGACAACATGTTTGTTTGTGAGACAACATGTGTGTTTGTGAGACAGTGTGTGTGTTTGTGATTACATTGTGCGTGTTTGTTTGTGGGACAACATGTGTGTTTGTGATTACAGTGTGCGTATTTGTTTGTGGGACAACATGTGTTTGTGGGACAACATGTGTTTTTGTGAGACAACATGCATTTATATTACAAAGTATAGTTCTACATTTCTCTGTTATCTGGGTTCTATTATTTTTTTAGTGGCCTTGGAAACGAATCTGCTGGTGAAATTGAGAACATCAACAACGCTGATACCAGCCTGGGGTTGTCGCAAGAAGGTAGGATACTTCCTTGAAAGTTATATTTATCTTACTACTGTTTTATGTATACTATATTACAACACTCCAACAGGTATCGATCACACATGGGCAGGAGAATCAAGTCATTTAAGCTCACAAACCACTTTTCCGTGTGACCACAGATCTCCCTCCAATTAAAGACCACTTGTGTGACCTGAGTTCCCATGGCCTTTAGCAGCTTTGATCTCAAATTAGAATAATAAAGATAAACATTTGTTAATATGAGACCACAGAAAAGTAGTGTTTAAAAGGAGAGGGAGTCTTTAATTGGAGAGGGTCTTTATTTAGAGAGAGACCTGTATTTTAGTCAATTCTGCAACTTGTATTATTAATTGTCAAAGGTTGCTACATTTATTTTTTTCAGCCGTTAGTGAACGAGGTTCCATCATATCTGGCCTGACATGTTCCCAGAGTGACCTCTCACCTGTAAGTCAGATGTCACCAATGAGTTTAAGTCCTCTGTCTCCTGGATCTCCCCTTAGTTCCGGTCTTTCAAGTCCAGCCACTAGCATGAACATTAACTCACCTTCACATGTAGCAAGTAAGATTCATAGCCGCCGATTCAGGGAGTAAGTGCAAACTTGTCTTATTTTAAAAATTTTAATTTAAAAAAAAAAATAAATGGTGACTTAGTAGAGTAAGTGCAAACTTGTCTTATTTTAAAAATTTAATTTTTTTAAAAAAAATAAATGGTGACTTATGCAACTCTACATTGCACAGGTGCACAATAAAATGTCAGTAACATTAAACTATAAAAATGCATCCATTTCATTTCAAGCAAGAAGCAAGTATAAATTTATCTTATTTAAAAAAGTATATAATTTTATACATAATGACCTTATGGAGCTTTCAGTTACTTCAGAGTTGACCCACGTCCTTTTAAAATGTAATAAATGTCAAGTGACATTGCAATAAAAAATGTATCAAAAGATAATTTCAGTTAAAGTAAAATAAATATGCATGATGACACTTATAGCAAGAAAGCAGATTGTGGCTTATAGGAATTAATTTCAAAGTTAACTGAAACGTCTTATTAGGGCCTCAAATTAGATATTCTTGTTACTTACTTGCTTGCCAATTAATATTTTTAACAGCTGTCAATAATATGGGTTTGTTTACTTCAGGTACTGCAATCAAGTTTTGGATAAAGATATCGATGCCTGCTGTACCACATTGCTACAGGCTCTAATTAAATTTCAAGATAGACAGTACCATAAAGACCCAACAAAGGTATGCGTCTTTGGACTCGCCAGTTACGTATACAATTGCAATTGGAAACAAGCTTGCTTTCCTAGAAGCCTACAGTATTAACAGCATTATATTAAAACAAGATAATACGTAATGCATAACATAAAACAATAAACACACCAATCATTGTACAGGCAACAATAGAAAATATAGAGAATCAATGAGAAATTTACTTCAACCAGATGTTTTTTATAGGCCAAGTCTAAAAGAAGAATTGTTATGGGTCTTCGAGAGGTTACCAAACATCTGAAATTGAAGAAGATTAAGTGTATTATAGTGTCGCCGAATTTAGAAAAGATTCAAGCCAAGGGTAAGTGTAGACGTCCTCTTGCTAGTTCGGAAACTCTGTTTGCACTTTCAAAATTTGTGCGATGTGATGTGCCCATATATCAACATTTGTGTGATGTGATGTGCCCATATATGGGCCTGATGATGTAATATTACACCTAAATATTGGCATATCATAGTTGTTTGTCACATCACATAAAAATTGATAGTGTAGTAAACTTATCAATAATATACCTTGCAAAAAACCAACATTTAATCATTGGTAAATGTTGGGGTATGGCTCTGTAATGTAGGTGGTTGTATGTAAAGTTAAAGAAGTCACAATTTGGATCATTTTACAAGCGTTAGAAGAATATAGTGCATTAAATTTGCACTCCAGTATTCTTATAATAAATCTAGATGTGCAAATCTATGTACTACCTCTGAAAATGTCAATAATTGATGAAGATTTCCTTTGTGTGAATGGCTATAAGAAATTAACTATATGTAGTCAATTTCAAGCAAAGAATGATAATGACCTAACATTTTTTTTTTAAATATTACTGTAGGTGGCTTGGATGATGCTTTGGAGAACATTTCTTCGCTAGCTAGAGAGCAGAATGTCCCTCTTGTGTTTGCCCTTGGACGCAAAGCCTTAGGCAGGGCAGTCAATAAACTTGTTCCTGTAAGTGTTGTCGGATTGTTCAACTATGACGGTGCAGAGGTTGGTACAGTATTGTATTTAAATTATTTTTATATTTCATTCTCATCTAATAGTGACTTACCACTTACTTGCTCCGTAAACTAAGTCACATTATGAGGTTTAACACACTGTGTTTACCTGATGAAATCCCTTCTGGTTCTGTGTAGTACCACCTGCTGGTCATCATTCTAAATGATCCATTGAGCAATCCTGCACATGTTGTAATCTTCATTGAATCACATTATATGCTTGACTTTATGAAGTGGAGTTCATTTTAGTCATTAAAAAAATCCTCGTTTATGATAGAACTTGAACAAAGAACTCTGGAATATAGAGAAGCATACCTTTTAATCAAGCTACCGTTTCTTTGAATAATCTTTACTTATGGTAATAAGGGTCTATGAATTAGGAACAGTATTATTTATATGTCTATTAATTTGCAAGTAAAATTTTTTCTTGTAAATTTTAATTGAAATCTAATAACAGTATATATAAAGTGAATAGTACAATTATTTATTTATATTTCAGATTTTATATTTAAGTTTTTTTAGCGAAAGACTTTGCTGTTAATACGCACGCTATAATAAATCTAACTATATTACATTATTAGCTCAGTAAATTAAAATTAGAGAATATTTAGGATCATAAAAAAAATCCCAATGCATTTCAAGAGCAACTAAAAATGATACACATGTTAATTTGTCTTCTTGATTATTCTTAAGGAAACCTTCCAACAGTTGCTACAGTTATCATCCAAAGCGCGAGAAGAATATGACGACATGATTAAGAAGTACCAGCAAGATTTGGAAGCTGCAAATGTCGCACGCTTAACAAAGAGGCGCCATTACATGGGACACAATAGGAACCTATCTGGATGCAGTGGAATCTCATTCAGTAGTGTCATCTCGGAGCCAATATCTGAAGACTACCCCCACCCAGAGCCCGCCACTGACAGCCGAGGGAATGTCCTCTCCAGTCAAGAGAACTATGATCAAATGTATCCCAATAAGACTAACACTTGGTGCCCTCCTAAATCTGTTGATTCAACCCACAATAGCGATGATCACAAAACGGCAACATCCAAAGCCTCATCAGAAACTTTGGAACCAACAGCCGGAGAGAAAGATGTCGCTGAAGTGGATGATGATGATGATGATGTCAATGATGAAGATGACGAAGACAGGAATGCTCTATATGAACTTGAGGAGATCGAAGGTCAAGATGAAAATGAGCTTGAATCTGAAGAGGAGACGCAAAGAGCTCCAGTTGAGGTTCCTGAGGATTCCACTTCCGACACGAGAGTTGCTCATTGGGTAGTCGAAGCGCAGTCATGTTTTAAAGATTTGTCATTGAAGACATCTGATGATGAAAGTGCGATTGCAACTACCATTCCTCAAGAACTTGTAAATAGTTAAGTTATCGAGTTGTTGTCAACCTGTCTGTTCTGTTTACACTATTAAATTTTATGTCACAGAATATGAGTGTGATGTGACATCATGCAAACTGCTGCACATATTTGTCACATAAACTTAGTGTGGACAAAAATTTTTATTAGTGACAGTCATTTCAAATAGTGTCGGACAATTTACTGTTCTACATATTATCATCTTTAAATTAATGATGATTTAATGCTGAAGTTTTAATTTACCTGTTATTAACATAGTTTTGTTTTAAGATTTTTATACATTTGATATGAAGAAACATTCATCAACTGAAGTTGAGAATGTACTTAACTTATGAATTATGATATTAAACATGGTTGCCATAGTAATTAAAATATCCATAGGCCAAGATTACATTATAATTTATTCATGTTATTAATTTGCACAAAGGAAACAATCAGGATAATAATTCTTTAGCATTAATTAGCCGCAAACTGCATGCATATCGGGATGTGCCAATGAATTGTGGTGTTGATTACCCGAGTAGTATTAGGAGGGACAAAGAAAAACTGATGTACAGAAGGTGAGAGGAAATGGGTAATACAGACGAAGGAATGTGGAAAAATAAGAATGAATGTGTATTTGAGAAGATAAAAAGAAGCAAAGACATTAATTATGTTAAATATAATTTATTGAAGGGATGAGAAGTAAAGCAGATAAAAGGTTTAAAAAATTAATGTATGAGTTCATTGAGTGGAAGATTACAAAGAATAATCAAATAACTAGGCAAAGGATATAATTATGTTTTCTAATTTGTTGGAGTGGTGAAAAAAGTAGGTGAAATGATTAGAGAAATGAGAATATAAGTTTATTGACAAATAAAGAAGAAAGATAATGGGAGTAGGCAGACAAGAAATAATTATGTTGAATGGATGGGAAAAAGCAGATTATAGAATAAGAGAAAAAAAGAGTGTGTAAGTGTATTGGAGGAATGATAAGTGTGATTTAAACAAAGAAAATAATTTGGTTTATTTAATGTTTTGGAGGGGTAGGTAATAAGTAGATAAAATGTATGGCTGAAAGGACTTTAAAAAAATTTCCAGAAGTCCTTGATATATTACAGACATTACATTTTTTTTTCACAATTGAAATATTTTATAGTAAGTTCTATATTTATTGCTTATCACGCAACAATGCTGCTATTTGTAACAGAAATTGATTTTAAAACCTGTTTGCTTATGTGATTTAGGCTGAAGACCACCGTTTTAGAGGCCGTCCTACTGTCTTTAGCTACCACCTTAGCCTATTATAATATTAGGTTTAAAATTTAATAGAAATTTGAATAAACTTGCTTTTAGAAACTGGCTATAAACAAATTGTGGCCAAATTTTGATGAGATTAAGCCCAGTTTTTGGCTGGTTTTAACTGAAGGATGATTTTTTTCCCCGTAATTCAAGCTAATTCATTGTGTTGTGTGAAAAATATTCGATTCTTTATCTGGTGCTTGTGTCTATCCCTGGTGAAGGTGCTTGCATCACCATCAAAGGCCTCTAATTCCATAGAGAAAACAATTAAGCAAGAGAAAAACAATATTTAAAATATGTTAGGAAAAATGTTAAATATTTGAAGTGAAAGCTAAAATGAAAAGTTCAATTTAGTTTGTACTAATAACTTGATGTGTGTAACAGGTTCAACCCCTGAAAGATACTTGTGAGGTGAGAGGAAGTATTAGGGAAGGGGTGGGTGTAAGAGTGATGGGGGTAGGGAAGGGAATGTGAATTTTTGTTCACAAGAATACAACATGTAATATATAATATACATATCTCTTTTTTTTAATCTTCGTATAATATTGTAGGGTAGTTTACATAATATAGTCTTTCGAGATTTTTTCTTATACTTTTTATTTACCCAGAGAGCAATCACGATAAAGGCCATGTAAAAATATATCGGTAATTGCCTTTTTTTTAAACAAAATATGTAGGGAAGGAGGTTATTTTCACTGCAAAATTTGTGTCATTATAGGATATATGTGGTATGGGAATGGGGCTTTTGGGACCCCAGTCCAATTTCACACTATTTTTTTTCCCATTTTGAAATTATGATTTACCATACCTGTAAATTTTTGGAGTTTTTTAACTAAAACTATAAAAGAAATACATTTTGCAGAGGATTTTTGTTGCGTAGGGATAAACATGGCCTGAATGAAAATGTTTTGTTTAGATACAAACTGTATTAACCTTGTCATGTATGAAATATTTGTTGCAATTTTGTTTAACCTCATAATTATCAATCATGGAGATAAGTATTAAGAATACTAATACACATATAAAAGTATATATATAATATATAGTATCAATCATTGTTTTGATGGATACTCAACACCCAGGAGGTTTTTGGTTTGCCAATTTGCTGAAAGTAGCATATTTCAGATACAGGTGTTCTTGTTTGTATGACAATGTTCTCGATTTGGGGGAACAGTTGATAAGAACAGGTAAGGACTGTCAAATTCTATTGGCAGGCAGTTTCTGTACAAGCTATTACAAGAAGTTTAATTGAAACCGGAACCGAGGTGTTGCTTGTGAAATTAAAAATATATGATGTAACCTGTAATATAAATGAGTTTGTTTTCAATTTTTGTCTGAAATGTAGCCAACAAATTTAAAGTATGGGGAAGAGTTTGATGGACCTTTGCTCTGTGTCAACAGGGGTGGATCCAGTAGGGGGGGGGGGCCCGCACAGGTTTTTCAGTAGTCATTTTCATGAGATCCGTGACTTGCCTATTCTGAGACTGTTGTGACACAAACCCACCCCCTCCTCAATCGGACTTAATGACTGACCAATCAGAACAGGTCAGGAATGCATATGCCAGAAAACATGTGCGTATATGCTTTCCTTTTGTCTGAACTTAGCAACAGTAACCAAGGAGTGAGGCTTTAGAACAGTCCATTTTAGAGATCATACAAATATAAAATTACTGATGGCACATTTAGTAATAACAAGAATAGGCCTATATTATTGTCTGTGGACCATCATGGTTATAACAGGTAAGATGAGATGTTAGACCATAAATTATGTAGATTAAAAAATTATTTTAGACACTTTGAAATGATACTTTTTTCATTTTATGCAATTCGGTTTATTATAACACTGCTATGGTAGGCCTTGCAAACATCCATTTAAACCCAAAATGCTTAATTTTATCTTATTTTTGTGTATGGTTGTTTTAAGATTATTCCTCTGCATTCCATTATCTTCTTTCTAAACTTCTTTTCCCTTTAATATTTTCTTTCTGTTCTTTTCTACTTTTCTTTCCGGTCTTTTCCTTTCATTTTCGCTCAGAATATTGTTAGGTGTACTTATTTCCTCCCAAGCCACGATGTTGGGACCCAAAATATTAATATTTCTTTAATCTTCGTAAATACATACTCCAATAACAAAAATACCACTGATACTACAAATGCCAACAGGAAAAACATTTTAAGTACTGTACTTTTATAATTTTATTGTCTTTTCCAACTATGTCTACACAGGATGAGTTATAGTTGAGTATTACAATTTCATACTGTTCATGTACAATTATTTACTCCATATATTTACAATCAATTTCTCTCACCCATCCAACACTCTTGTTATTACCATTACCACATGCTTGGCAAAACAGGATTTATAATTTACAAAACATAATGTTTAACCAAATGCTGCCTTAGCTCTTACATTTCATACACTTGCATCAAATTCATTAAGAAATTTATAACATTATAAAATAATGAAAGATTTAATGCTTAAAACACACAAGTCGGAAGTGATGTTGGTACTTGGTAGTACCTGAAAAAAAAAATGGACAACCCCCCCAAACCCATGAAAAATAGAACCGTTCGTGCCAGGCCAACATTATGATGAAGTCAAAGGCTTTTTTCTTGTTTCTTTTTCGCCGTTTATGTGTCAACACCGATAAAAAGTTTTTTATTGAATCTAGCATAGCTTTTAAAATATTTAAAATAACAATGACGACTGATTTATCCAGGTGTGGACAAAATAGACATTAGATCATTAGATTATATTCTTAAGTTTAACATTATTTCATAATTATTTATTTATCAAGAGAGTTTTGAATAATTCTTTATTTTTGCACTTACAATTAGATTCTATTCTTTATTAAAATTAATTGACATTAAATATTTATCTACAAAGATCAGTCTTTATTCTTGCACCATATATATTTGATGAACCAACGAATGACAATTGGCCAGACGCATATAAGGAAAGCGTGCACTGCCATTTGCTTTGGAGTCAGGTTACTAATGTATGATGTTGAACCTTTTCCATTCAGTGTGGCCTGCCAACGAATGGAAATATAAAAGGGTTACAATAAAAAAAAGGTTATTAAACACCAACTGAAAAGAGAAATGTAAGTACAGTACCTTTAAAACTATCGTTTGTTTTTTGTTTTATTCTTTGAGGTGGTGAGTGTGGATCATACATTAATAACACTTCAATTACAGAATTAGTAAAAAAAAACTTGGATAAATATAATATAAAGAACATATTGATAATAAATATTAAAGATTTATAATATTAAAGACTTTAAAACAGACATCTCCACCCAAAAATTGGGTTCTCAATGCGGAGTGTCTTAAAAACGTCCTTTTCTTAAAGAAAGCCTTTTATAAAAACATATAGATGTTAAACATTAAAGAAAGGAAAAAGAGAATGAGTGTTCAGATAACAAAATGGAAAAAATGGAATACTGGATAAATCTGGGTGATTTGATTTAACATGTACAGTAATAAATTATATCAAATAAAAGAATGATTAACTTACTTCCATATTTCTTTTCAAAAGATTTTCTAATAAAGTTATCCTGGAAATAATTTCAGCCATATCACGTTGGATGTTTTCTAAAACTAAAAGTATTTGTTGATTACTAGAACCCTTTGTTTCTCTACCACGGCCACACCTTCCTTCCACAACAGTACTAGATGAACACTCTGCCGACGTGACTTCTACTGCAAAACAAAGCCAATTTCATTTCACTACATAAAGTATAAGTTACTTACAAGAGTCAACATTATTATCAAAATAATGAATTTTGGGATATTTGTTGTACATAACATAGAATCGTTTCATAAATAAATACATGTGATAAATAAAAATTAAAAAAATGTTAAGTAAAAATAAAAAAATTAATTCAAAATATTGAATCCCATATTTCAACAAATTTCCTAAAAAAGTGGATGTGTCCCAAGGGAGGTACAAAACCCTTTTCTCAATGAATTTTAAATAAGAGAAATGCATTCAATTATATTTACCTTGTTTTAGTACTCGCTGAGTTGGTCTATAAGTAGCAATTAATGGATCCTTGGTCTGTAATGAAACACCATTATGCTCTTCATCAGATGCCTGTAAAAAGAAAATATGATATTTATATCATTCCTCCTGTCTTTACAATAATACTGTTTAAAGAAGAGAACTGTACTGTACTCAAGCAATAAGTCGTTCAATATTAATTGATATACGTTTGTGAATATTATTATTCATCCAGTTTTAAATAAATAGACAAGTATAGTCCAGTTAAAAAGATTAATTGTTTTATATTATATATTAATTGATATATTTGTATTTTATTCAAACATCCAGCAGTGTAAACTCTAATTACAGGATGAGCATAAATATATAAAAATATGATACAAAAATGTAATGTATTATAATTATTCTACCTCAATAATCAAATATAACTTCTTTAAATATGTAAAAAAAGGTATAAATCTTGATTATCAAAATTGGTATGGAAATAATGTTGAGATTAATGTGAAAATAACATCTCAAATAAGAAAATACAGATCAATTTTTAGAGCAACAACACCAAGACTTACTAATAATAGAGACAAAAACATATGATGATTCTTTATAATTAACTTGTTTTAAAGTATGACTGTTTTACAATCATCACTTTATTATTAGTTGATTAAAAGACGGACACAAGGATATGAAATGTATGGTTGTTAAAATAAGGTATGCTTTCTTACTTCAACCTGGTCGAAGGTATCACAGAAGTCGTCATTTTCACTATCACTTGTAATGTCACCTGTATAATACAAGACGGATACCAAGAAAGATAGATTAAAGAAAATATATTATAAAAAACAAGTTCTCGTAATCTCGAAAGCTTCAATGAAGACAGTATAATAGAGGCAGTAGAGTATATTGGTTCTAACAGCACAAAAAAAGATCTATTATTTAATCAGCCGAATCAGCCCACTCTGATTGGAGCTCAAAAAAAGATTTATTGATCAATGCCCACCCTTATCTGAGCTAAAAAACATAAGCTCAAAAAAACATCTATTAATTGATCAGCGCTCAGCCCGCCCTCATCTGAGCTAAAAAACTAAGCTCAAAAAAACATCTATTAATCGATCAGCCCTCAGCCCACCCTCATCAGAGCTAAAAAAAAAATCTATTAATCAATTAGCCGAGTGTTTCTAGAGCTCCTCATCAGAGCTAAAAATAACTATTATATAATTTGTTTTTCTTTAGATAACTTAACGAAAATAATAAGTACAATGGTGAATAGTTGATCCTTTGAAACTATTTTATAATTTGGTGTCAAGTTAACATAACCTATACCCCAAGCATGATATAAATGTAAGTTTTTATCATTAAAAAAGAATGAGAAAAAATTAACATATTTTTGTTAGTACAGTACCAGATCTTTTGGTTTGATAACTTAATTTGAAAATGCTTAAACATGTCTTCAGAAAAGCAAGTATATTTTGAGTGTGAACTTACCTATCTCAACAATTTGAGGCTCGGTATGACCTTTGCTATCACCCCTTTCATCACCTGTGGTAATGCATAAATCATCCTCCCTGCTATCACTTTTGCCATCACTTATATCGTCACCATTGCCTTCACCTGTGCTTTCACTTACGATGTCACCGCTGCCATCACCTGTGACATCACCTATGTTATCATCCCTGTTATCACTTGTGTTATCACCTATGGTATTTTCACCATTTATCCTTGTTGAAATTGCTTCAATAAATGGCATGATTGCAGATATAAATTGTGTTGATTCATCTGTTTCTGGTGCTTCATGTAATGTCTAAAAATTTAATTGATAAATTAATATTAACAAAAGGTTTCAATTGATTTTCATAAATTTATTTATTATTGAAAAGGGTAACACAGCAGTGTCACAGAAAATGCATAGGAAAACAGCATGGAAATCTGTGGTATAAAGGGATGCAGGGAAAAGGGGGGGGGATGGAGGTGGAAAATCAGTTCTTCCCCAGTTGATCATGCATTGAAAATGTTCAAAGCAAACAAGCATGCTCGGTTAGGTGAAAATTACTTCATATCACCTTATTTTGCAAGCTAGCATCCCCTCACTAAATCATCAAACTCCCACTTCACCTTCAAGGCCCCCACCCCCACCAATCATCACTCCCCCTTTTCAAAAATCCAAGATACGCCACTGATGGAAATGAAGAGTTGTAATAAATTTGGTCATGTAAATGCTACAAACCTTTGAAAATTGATCAATAGTAGCAGTCTGTGAATTAGCCAGTAAAGCCTGCAAGAAAGTACATAACTAGTAATAGTAGATGATTTTTAATTAAATTATAGGATGAAACTTTTCTGGTGATTTCCAGAACCCTGAGACTGGGAAGTTAGTATGTTTATTTAATTACTATGATTATGGTGGTGTCAATGATGATATCAATGTTAAGTGATAGGACATAATATTTCCTAATTTGTTGGTTCAATGTACCAATCTCTGCACTCTAATGCACCTCGATATATCCATAACTGAAAGATCCTGTCAAGTTTTAATGTAGAAGATGATGGTGATGAAGATGATAATGATTACTATGGTGTTCATAATGAAAATTTTGATATTGATGATGATGATAATAGTGTGATGTTACGATGAGGATATCATGGTGATAATTATGGTGATAATTGTGATGAATAATGATGATGATGTTAATATGATTCATAATATGATTGATGATTATCATGAAGTTCCCCCCTGGGTCTCCTCTATTACAAATTCCTGAATCCACCACTGAACGCAGACCACTAGAATTGTGCCAGTCACCTTAACAAACTCCTCAGTATATTGCACCATTGCTTCCTCCTTAGACAAGTCCCCAAATGACGACCAAGCTTCCCTGTTAGAAAAAAAAGTTCAACAAAAAAACTGAAAACTTCATTATCTCAACAGGATAAAATGTAAACAATAAGATAAAAAAAACCCCTGCATGATATAGTGCATTTCACTATATTTAGAAGGACTAAAAATGCTTAAAATTAGGCTTCGGAGGAAAAAAATGTTGATATGTCATACAACTAATTTTTTCTAAGACACAAAAAGCATATTTGATGAAAAGCTTGGGAACGGTTAATGAGATACAGATTTTTTTTATATTTAGAAACTGGGAAAAAGGTGGAAAAAGGAGTGGTTACACCTCTTTTCCCCCAGTTTAAAATTATTTAAAAATCTGTATCTCATTAACCATTCCCGAGATTTTCGTCACATATGCTTTTTGAGTCTTAGAAAAATCAGTTGTATAATATATGAAAAAATGTTTTTCCTCTGTAGCCTGTCATTAACTTCCAATCACAAATCCCTTTCGTATTTGTATTTTTCCCCACAAACATTGTGACATCCATGCCTCGAAAGGACATATCAAAACAGATAAAAAGTCAAAGAAAAGGACTACCATTTGCTTCTCTCAACTGGATAAAATATAGACGGCTTTTTGACACAACATCGTCCCATAGTTGCCTGTTTGTACAACCCGTAGAATGTACTCATCATCGCATACGACGGTTTGAAAGGCCCTTCAAGATAGAGAAAATGATTATTAATATTAATAATTTAGTAGTTCAGTTTTCAGTATGTTTTAATATTAACACATTTAAGGGAAAAATAAAGTACTATAAAGAAAAATTCATCACTTGTTGAAGAGGGGAAGTACAGGCACTCAAATAATGCACCCACCCAAACATGGGTCCGATCGACCATCTCAGGTCCGACAAAGCGAGTCCGACCGACCGAGTCTGACAGTTTATCACCGGCTAGGCCTAGGCTTTGCTAAATACATAGGCGAGTTCTAAGCTAATTTCAAGAAACTACCGTACAAGTATCATCAATATTCACATACCATTTTGGGGCATATTTTTCACTGTAGCAACAGCTAGTTCAAAAACACGTTTCGTCCTAATTAAATCATATTTTTGTGAGCTCCCTTCTCTATCATCAGTTGAATCTGCCATATCGAGGATCAAAACATTCTTCTTGGCCCCATGTATGAAACGCCAGTAGTGCATTCAACCGTAAAGTGATCATATGGCGATGCCGAAAATTGATGATGCGCTTTCGAAGATAGTTTTTAACGCATTGACCTTACACAAAGACGACATTGACCATCAGTGGCTGTTCGAGGAATTTTAAATAGAGGCGGCCCAGGAGTAGACTGTTACAGATGGAGGGTTCGAATCTCACTCCCATGGATGGTGCAGAGGTAGCAAAATGTGATTTTGTTATGTTATTCGGCACATGTACACACATGTAAACAAATCATGTTATGTGTTATGTGTAAATTATGGTGGTACCTGAAAAATTGCACTCTCCTATTAAATTTTAATTGTAATTTTCCCCTTTAGAATGAAATCTGAAAACAGTTCCCGGGAATTGTTATGTCCTTTCTTCCAGCCAAAACATTTGGCCTGGTTCAATTTCATCAGCGTTGCCCTACTTGTTTTTATCTGGGGGAATACAAACAAGTTAGGCTATCATAAAACTTAGTGGAAGGATAGTGTTTTAAGTTGGAAAGGGAAAAATGGGGGTAAAAAGTCAAGGTCACATAGTCAAATTTCTGGATTTTTTGGGGGGTATTCGGTATTCGGTGAAAGGGTGGAGCTATGCACTCTATGGAGTTACCACTATAGTATTCCTTCGGAGTTTTGTTTCACCATTCTGATTTTTATTTTTTACAGCACTTTGAGTTGATATTGCAAGTTTTATCAATCTTATCATTTATAATATTATCAGGAAATGTTTGCAACATGAATATCAGTTGCATCAGTTAGGGGCTGGTGTCTCACAAAATGATGTTTATAGTCTGGTATTTTAACGATAGTTACCTCCGCCAAGGAGGTTTTATTTATTCACTGCTGTCTGTCTATTAGCAAGATTACGCAAAAACTAATCAATGGATCATCATGAACTTGATCAGAACACGCACATATTACTGAGCTCCTTTCATTCTTTTCTACTTTATCATTTTTATTTTAAAATTTAATTACTGTACTCACAACACAAAGCTAAAAAAAAGAAAAGAAACAACGATGTACTGTATTGTAAAATTTAATTTATTGTATATAATATTTTGAAACATATCTATTATTACATTTAAAAGCAGTTTTGAACATAAATTAGGATAGTCTGAAGTCTTCTTGCTACTTTAAATAACTGGTGAGACTTTGAGCAGCAGTCGCTGACAGTTTGCCAACCTTCTCAGGGGTTGACCCTAAACCCTCAAATGTCCATTTGACACCTGTAAATATACAATTAATCAATTTTAATAATAAACAATTTTAACAATATAAACCATCACAATTTTTATCTAAATTAATATTACTGTATATATATTTATAAACACAATACAGTTAAACTTTCCTAAGTCAACATTGCCTAAGTCCGATCATATTTTACACACCAAATTAACGATCTGTATGTCAAATTTTATCTAAGTCAAACAATTTTTTAATGCCATTGCTAAACATAGTGGATTAAACAAATATCTACACACATATTTTTCTGAAATAAATAAAACTAAGGTAATCATAATTATGGTAGAACATTACCTGAATTCCATTTCTCTAACAACAATGCTGATAATCGATTTCTTCTTAGCATCTAAAGATAGAAAAGTAGGAGGAGGAAATTGATCTATGTATTCTTTCTAATCCAAATTTGATATCTTTTGTATGCTCTTGTTACAATTTAGAAAGATAGAATGCAAATTTTCCACTAAAATCTTTAGCTCAGTTCAGTTAGGATGGGATTATGTAGGTCATTTTGTTATTAGTAAAGCACCTAAACATGCTTTCTACTGTATGTTGGTCACCAAGAACTTGGAATAACATCCTTCACACATAATGGATATTTTGTGAAAGAGGTTTGGCGCAACGGGAACGGTCTGGTTCCCCAACCTCTAGGTCAGGGTTTCAATTCCTCACTGTGCATTTTGCTTGTGTCCTTTGAGCAAGGCACTTTATCTGCATTGCTTCTCTCCACCCAGGAGTGTAAGTGGGTACCTAAGGAGGTTTGAGTACAAAATGCACTGATATATTTCATGCAGCAAACTATGTAATTTCCCCCATAGGCATCATACCAATGAATGGGGTAATAATGTGGAAAAGTGCTCTGAGACTCAGACTTAGTTGTGTAGAGCGCTATATAAAAACCTAAATGTTATTATTACCTTAACACAAAATGCATAGTTCACTTATTTAAATTAATATTTTCTATACAAATTTCTATAAAATCATCATATTAGTATTAGTAAATGGACATTTCATATATATGAGTTTGACTTGAGTATAATAATAAACCTACATTTTATAAAACTCATATATTAATACTCTGAAATGTATGGCTCACTACATAATATGACATGATTGATAAAACTTGAGAAGATTTACCTGGTTGAAGAAAGTGTCTTGACCAACCACTGAATTTGTTAACCTTCTTAGTGCGAGGGATGACTGCTTAGACTGGGACCATACTCCCTCAACGGCTGGTACGTATATGGCACCCACTCCTATGCTAACTTTCAGCGCACCTCTATGAAGAAAATGTAGACAATACATAATAATACTTTATCTACCCACTAATATAGTCAACATGTGGTATAGTACAGTGGTGTATGAGTCTTCAAACGGGGAGGGGATAATGAATGAGGGGGGGAGATAATGAATGGGGAGAGATAATGAATTTGGGGGGGTCGAAAACAAGGTTTGGGGATGGATGGCTGAGGAAGGGGAACTTGCTCCTAAAATAAGGTGATTTTTATCTGTATGAGCATCGTTTCTTTCTTCTTTTTTTTTTTTGCTTCCAACATTTTCAAGGGGACTGAGGGAGCTGTTTCTCTTTCCCCCCCCCCCCGCCACCGCCAATGACTGGTAAAATGTTAGTGTACTGTGTAGTGTACTGGGCTCTCTGTATCTATATTTTGCCAGGATCCTGGAAGGTCGTCGATCCATTCTTACTTACCGGTAGGCTAATACTGTACTTTGGGCCCAGTGAGGAATCGGCACAGTAAGCCTAGGACCAGATCAACACAGGAAGGGCAGGCATGTCATCCCATGTGTAGCCTAGCCTAGCTAGGTCAGGCAGCTAGCTAGTCTAAGGTTAGGCCTAGGCTAACAGAGATAGCTACACATTACAACCATAGAGAAAATAGAACAACTTACAATCTAAGTCAAAGCGAGCTGTTTTATTTCAAAATACGAACCTTAATATATCATAATGAATGATGAAATACAATCAAATTCAAAACTAATATACCCACCTAAGCAACCCCAACACAGCCATATTACTGTTTTTATTGCGCTTTTTTTCTAAGGATGGAATTACGGAAACTTTATTATCTTTTGTGTCAGCTGAATTGTTGCAGCCCAAATGCATTGATTACTGTGCAATTTGGGCTACCGTAAAGACAATCAAAGGGACTATGGCACGCCGTATCTGCAACAACTTGATGATTACATAAATGCCTCAATGTCAAAAAGGGCCTTGAAAAATGTTTCAATAAGCTAAAAAAACGCCTCAGAAAATTAACTCAAACAATGTCTCGGAGTTTAATATTGTCTCAGATATTACAAAGAAAATTGTCTCGAAAATTAATTTCTCAACACGTTCCACAAAAATGTCTAAAAAGTGCCTCGATAACCCTCACGATGCTTAGAAATTGCTTCAAAATTGTCTTGAAAAAAAAAATACATTCAAAAATGCACCGTCAGTGCCCTTATGGGTACGTTATTTCATAGGCGCGCATAATGGACCTTTCCAGAGTGTCAATCAAACTTAAAAACTGAATCACAAAACGGCCAGGAATACCCACGTGTCTCACAAACACACGTGTTGCACCATAAACGCACGTGTTTGCGTATGTCTTTCCTTACTTATAATATGGTAAATTTTTCTATTTAGAAGCCTTGAATAGGCCCTGGGCTTCTTTTGACGACCCTTGGATGGCTTCTTTTAGAGATGGGCCTCTTTTCAATATGTGTTTTCTTTTCACGCTCCGTTGCAAACTAAAGAGGGGAAGGCTTCCTTTTAAAATGAAAGCTGTAAATTTTGGAATTTCTACTATACGACAATTTTCGTCTATGGCATGGAATTCGAAATTCTGCTTAATATTTTTAAATTGTAACCATGCTACAATAGTCAATAAAATAATATAGGCCTATTATTGATACTGACACGCTATCATAATACAGTAATCGATAACGTCAGTTTGAATGTAAAAGTACTGTCTCGAAATAAGCCCATATAGGCCTATATCTTGATTAGAGAAGCCCTGGGCTTCTTTTCCGATTACTTTTGCAAAGAGGGGGGCGGGGGGCTTTTTTCCGCGATGGGCTTATTCTCGAAATTCAGCAATGGCATTCCCCGCCATTTAGGAATCAAATTTCCTGTTTGGGGTTTATCGATTCATGGAAAAAAGAACACGTACAACTACTCATTTTTTTTATGTATGTATACACACATAAGGTTTACTACTGTAAGAATGAGAAAGTCTGCCTGACCATTTTCAAGAGGGGAAACCTTGGATTTTGAAGAACTTAAAAGTCCTTGAAAGACACATCAGAAGTCGTAAAAGCTCATTTCCCGCCATCTAGGATTCAATTTTTTTTTTCCTGGGGAGAACCACCCCCACCCTTTATTTATTTTTTTTTTGGAAACATTTTGATCCCCCCCCCCCCATGGACCCAGACCCGCCCCTGATTAATCTTATCAATCCCAAACGAAACACTGATATGTTTAAGTTAACTTAGTATAAAACATAGCCTATAGCCTACTCCAAACAAAGTGAGACTCCTATAGGCTCTAATATTGACTGTTTTTCATTGGCTAATTCTGTACTGCTTCTGGAATGTCTGTTTGTAATGTTTAAACATTCTTCATTCCTGATGATGATCTTATAAATATCCAAATATTGAATCACAATGACGAGTCTCATTTAATTTGGAGCATGTTTTATACTAAGTTAATAGGCCTATGTTATCATTTTTTCACTGTAGGTCTTTGATGTATTAAATTGTATTGTGATGCTTTTGATGTCCTAATTTTCTATTTAACTTTTATTGTATATGTATAATGAATACTTTTTTTGTGTAAATTTCTTATATCAAATTTTGTGTAGCGCCTGTGAACATTTTAAATGGATATTGTTTGCGCTTTATTAAATAAAGTTATTATTATTTAATTAATAATTAATTATATAAGCTCATCAAAGATTTTTATAATAGTTATTTTCCTACAAATTAAGTCAACCGTAACTCGAATAACAAATACAGCACTAAATTTATTTTTTAAAGGTTTTTTTTTAGAGCACATTCATGTCTTAGACTATTTTTGAAAGTTCAGAGAGTCTCGTTATCGTGTATTGCGCCATCAATAGTCATACGTTGAAACTCGCCTTGCTCGCGAGAGTGCCTACCTCTCTCGCGGAGACGATGAATCTATTTTCAGTCCCTGGAGAAGCAGACTAGGCTAGCCTGTATTCTGTTTGATAAGTATAGAAGAGTGTTGAGCTACCACAACAACAACAGGCAATGCAATAGCAAAACAATTTAGGATTTTTGAAAGATGGTTTTCGAATCCCTGGTTGTGGATTTGCTGAATCGCTTTTTAGGACCGTATGTGGAAAACTTAAATAAAAACAGTTTGAAACTTGGAATATGGAGTGGTAAGTATAGGCTAGCCTCTAGAGAATCTCTAGTCTAGGGTTGAAGTTAACTGAAGAAGGCTGGAGTGCTTGGTTGGATTTTCCCGTTCGAACGTCTTGTAGGTAGACGGGGTGTTGGATGAAAGTGAAATATATACCAGCCAGCAAGATTTGATGCATGCCGCACTTTCGATCACGTTCTACCATGGCTCACGAAATTATAGGCCTGGAATATCCTAGGCCTAACTTTGATTGAAACAATTTTAGACTATGTATATTAAATATTAATTATGAAAGAGAATTCAAGATATGCTATAGTATTAAACAGTACTGTTCTGTAATGTAGTGTATCTAGGTTTTAGAATAGAGAGGCTGATTAGGTAAGTAAAAAAGTCAGTGAATTTGTTTGGACCACAACAACTAACAATTCATACAATACATTCCAAGAAAGAAAGATATCAAGATTCAAGATTATTTTATTGTCCAAAATACGGAAATTTTGTTTGGGTGAACCATTTTAACACATACAGGTACAACAAAAATGTATACAAACATCAAAATTATCAAAAGACAAGAAAAGCAAAAAAAAAAAAAAAAAAAAATAATAATAATAATATATGGAAAAAAGATATGACCAACCAATACAATATACAGTAACTAAATATAGTTAAAAGGGACAGGTGATAAACATAAATTTAGATATTTGAGTTGTAGAATCTTATTGCAAAAGGTATGAATGAGTTGAGAAATCTGGAGGTACAGCAATTTAGCAGTCCTAATTTCTTTCCTGAGTATAGCCATTTAAATTAATTAAAAAGTGGGTGGTTTCTATTTCATATTTCTTCTAATATTGCGATAATTTTCTTATAAAATCTGTGGCAGCATAGGTCTTCAATAGAGATGTTTTATCAGTTAATTTACTAGCCCTAAAGTACACTTTGAATCTTAATATAATCTATCTTTCCTAAACTACTGAACCATATAATACAACCAAATAGTGACCTCTCTACAAACGATTTACAGAACAGACTAACGATAGGGTTATTTCATTAACAATTTTAAATCTTCTCAAAAAGTGAAGCTGTGAGTTTCCTTTAAGTCTAGTGATCTTGGCTTGCTCACTCCAATTTAACTTACTATCAATTGTAAGTGCTAGATATTTATGGATCACAATCTCAATTTCTTCATTGTTAATTTTTATAAACTAGTATTTTTTACATATTCCTAAGTAATTGCTTTGTAAGCACTATGCAGTCTATTCATACTATTTTCTATTATTTCATTCCATAAATATTAATAAGTAAAAACCAGCTGCATAAGAAATGTTCTAGAAAACCAGGACAAAACTAAGACAAGGATCTTCAGTTTATGACTGAGAATACTACAGAAAATACCTGGCCTAGAAGCTTCATATACAGTAGATGACAATTGAGCAAGATGTAAGGCACAGGCTTATTAAATGCCAGTCAAGATATTTGGTGCACTTAAATTTTCTCGGTCAGACAACAATGGACCCTCCTGTTGTCGGACGACATTTAAACTTGTAAACTAAAAATATTATTTTTCAGATCCAACCAAAAATTTGTGGGAGCACACTTACTAATTTGTCTAAAAAGCACAATTTTTATCATGCTAAAAATGTCCTTGCTGACCACCAGTAGTTTTACTCCAGACCTTCGAAAGGAAGCCCTACAAAGCAACCTCTTAGACCTTGTCAGATTTGTTGGACCTACGCCTAAGCCTACTTTTGCCAAATTTCTGGAGCTACCAATAACAATTATTTGTGAATTTTATTAAAGCTTTTTTGACTGTGTTTTAATTGCATGGCTCAAAATAAATTATACTTTTACCATTTACAAATTGATAAAGGCAGCAAATTGGAATCTAAAATTAAATAGGATAAATACAATTTTTACATTAAAATTAGGATTAAGAGCTGTCAGTTGATCCCAGTATTTGACCTGCAAAAGCGGATTAACATATTTTTATAAAGATTTTATTTTCTTGTGCAATTTTTTCTGCAAAGAAAACTAAAGTAGGTTAATGCTATCATCATTGAAATTATACTGCTTCATTGCATATAAACCCAGACAATTGTGATACTGGGATTAGCCTTCTCCACATACCTTTTCTTAAGTGAAGCCTTTGGCATTAATAATTGATAGCATGAAAGACAGGATGGAACCACAACCAAATTTCAATGAAGCCCAAAATGCTTTTTACAAAAAATGTACTGTAAACTTCGAAAAAAAGTTTGTTTAAAAAGATATCAGCATTGATTTTAATGTTATTATTTTCCTTTGAATCAATTGTTTATGTTCGATGTTGATTACTAAAAACTTTTAAAATGAACAACAATTAATGGCTATAACATTTATTGGTTGCATATTGTCATTTTATCACTTTATTAACCCAAGTCATTAGATCATCCGACTATGTTTCTAGGTGTAAGGGAAAGCATTTGTAGGGAATCTTGTATTTCTGCTTGTACCTACTATGCCGTAACCGTTTCATGATGAATCCAACTACGCTCCCTCGACGCTGTCTGCTAATTGATCTTGGCAGTCAAAATGGATCGTTATTAAAAATGATCCATTGCGTGCATGTCGTCGCATTGCGTTCTTTATAAAATCGCATCGAGCCACGCCCATCGGGCGAAAGTTTGTGCCCGGCTTAACATGTTTTCTTTCATTTATTCTAACTGCAGTGTAATCACATTATTTACAGATTTACAAAATGATAACAATTACAAAAATCATCAGAAAGATATTGGATTGATGTGATAAAACAATGAGCGAGTAAATTAGAATATGATTCAACTCCTGTTTGTGAAGAAGGAAATTGATATCTTGAATGTTCACATTGTCATTATTACATGGGCCTTAAAAATTTAGTGAAATTTAAAAATTATAATATTAAATCTGTACCTAATACGCACACAAAATATTACAATGAAATGCATGACTTAGGACTTAGGACTAAGGTCCTAAGTTTTTCTTATTTTGTAAACCGATGAATTAAAATTTTGGAATGTTTACAATGCAAAGCATGCATGGGTAATGTATTATATTAGTATTATTACATTGTCATAAAAAATTAATGACTATTTTAGAAATTAGAAAAAAATACTTTTTGAATTCAGTAGTACACAAAGACAAGACAATCAGTCATTTTGAATAATTGAGAGTTTTAACCAGTTTTTTTTTTCTCTTTTTCTGATGATGAACACAACAAACCTGTTCACTTATTTTAGTGCTTCATTGAACATTGCTCTATTCTTTTTTTAACAATTATTTTTCCATTACTAAAAATTTATACCATTAGATATGTTTTTACCATATTTTGTGAGGATCTATTACCTTTTAATTTTCATACAAAAGAAAAAGAGTCTACACAATTACAACCGATTAATCCTATTAACGATGCTGTGTGTTTACTTTATCAATGGTGTTACAGATTACAGCAAAATGAATAGTAATGGTGTTAGCACTTTCCGTTAACACATTCAAGTATGGGTTTACCCAGCTTGAACTTATTGAACCCTGGCACGTACATGTGAATATTGATAAATTTCTGAACCAGTATTCAGTGATTTTAAAAGTCAGGCTCTGTAGTTTAAAACAATTTTTGATATGTTGTATAACTGATTTTTCTATTAGACAGTACAAAAAGGGTGTTTGATGAAAAACTTGGCAATGGTATAATGAGATACCGATTTTTGAATATTTAAAAACTGGGTCAAAAAGGTGGAAAAAAGGGCTGGTTACGCCCCTTTTTGCATAGTTTTTTAAATATTAAAAAATCTGTATCATTTACCGTTTCCCAAGTTTTTAGTCAAACACCATTTTTGTGTCTTCACAGTCCTTCAACATATCAAAAATATTTTCTCCTCTGGAGCTTGGCTTTAAGTAAAAAACATTAAATTTACATTTCAGCCAATTTGCCTTTTTATCAATTTCGATAATTTATTACCTTCTCCCCATCCATCCATCTTCCAAGAGCTAAAGACATGTGGTACATAATTTTAAATGATAATATTACTTGTAAAGAAAAAAAAGATACTATAGACACAACATGTATGGTTTTACTATGGAACTTTCCATTAAGTAAAAAACATGACATGTGTTACAACTTTAAATGATAATATAACTTTATATAAGCAAAAAATAGTATTAAAACCATTTTATTTAATAAATTTATTTAATTTAAGCAATTTTAATTTATCAAGGATTGCTGCAGGAAAGTCTGTAAATCATTGAAAACTTAAATGTTTAATTGGAAGTTACAGCTTATTAATTTGATCCGTTGGCATGTTTACAGTAGTTTAATGTTTTTAAATGATTATTTATAGGTTCTTCCAGATTTTAATCTCATTAACAGATGTATAAATTATAGAACATGGCTGATTAGAAAGTCTGCTATGTTTTGACAGAAAAAAAATTTGCTTTTTAAAATTTCATTTCATATACTGTGTCTCAAAACCTTACAAATTACAGAAAGAAATGAAAGAAGAAAATTAGGTTTAGGTACATCCAAAAAGAACTTTGAAGTCATTTTCGAGTGGGGCTTCCACAAAGAATACCAGTACAATAAAAGTATATAATTCGAGAAATTCTCTTTTGTTTCTGAATATATCTAATACTAATATGTGATTCCAAATTATCTACTTAATATATTTATTCCTGGCATAACAAATTAATTTCAAAATATCATCTTTCACCAACAGACAGTCTTTTTGAAATTCTCTTTTATGATATTGTTGTTTTGTATTTTTGCTTGCCCTTGACAGAAAACAATGCTTTAAAAAAAAATAATGTAAGGCCACTTCGTGATAAAGAAAGAAATTATTGTATTATTAGTCTCATCGTTCTTTCTATGTAGAATTATTGTTTATGAGGCGACACAGTCCATACACTGTCTGACCTATGGCCCTCAGGTGTATACATTTCATTGACATTTATTAAACAGGAGATTAATGTGTACAGAAGCATATTTAATCACAATGAAGTTTAAAATAATAGTAGTATTATTGTGTCTAAGTTACATAGTGAATACAGTAAATAATATTACTGAAATACCCTGCTAATTGCATAAAAAGATGTGGATTGTTAATTAATCTGCAGCACTTGAACTGTTGTACCACTTATTGCCTCTGTAAGACTGTAGATTCTCTTCCTAGTAGGTCTACTAATACTGTAAGTACCACAGTGATGCTTTCTCAGTACTGTTTTGTGCTTTTAAGTGGTTGTGATGACATTTAAGTATACTTGACATTTTGGAAGGAAGATAACTCCAATGAGATGTCTTCAACATTCTTCTTAACATGTTCACTTTTTTTTTCTTTTCGAAAATGTAATATTATTATTGTTGAAATTGACCATTCTCTATAGAGAACATACTGTAGGCCATCTTTGACTATAGTCATCCCAATAGTATTTATGTATCAGTATTTATTTTAATTAAATAATTTTTATTATTAATATTACTATATTAGATTAATATTGGATTACAATCAAACTATCCATACAAATACAATGTTTCTGCCCTTCTATCTCTTAAATAGGTAGTCAACATTATGCCAAACATAGCTTCTTTTTAAGAAAGTATAATACATACTCCAAGTATTGAAATACATGTCATCGTGTTGGGATTCAATATTTCGACATTAATTATGTCATCATCAGGAATGAAAAAATTATCCATATTAGCAAGCTTATATGCACTAGCTTCTTTTTAGTATTACCCTTCAGGTAGGCCTTTCATTGCCCTGCTTATCTAAGTGCATGCAAATGATTGGCAATAATAATGCATAATGATACTGTTTACCTTATGCAGTCCTTTCCACAAGACAAACATACACAAGATCCTTGTAATAATTATAATAAAAGTCCATTATGCAGTTAAGAAAGTTGTTTTTGGCCGTGAGAAAGAATCCTGGTGTTTCGACAGGATTTGAACCTATTATTTAAGCCTTTTTAATGTCACTTTAAAAAAAAAAAAGTAACAATTAAACCTTTGAATGTAAAATGATTATTGTTATTGTTTGACTGACTTTTGAAATTTTTGGAATAAAGATACCAAGATAAATATGAATAAATAAATCCTTTAATTGAAAGGCAAGTACTTCAACTGTCAAGTCTTACAGCTTTTCCTCTCCATACCATGCCCTTGGCTTGCTCAGTATTTTTAGCTCCAATGAGGAGTTCCAAGAGTAACCCTGCAAATTGTGTACTTTTTTGCTGATTAAGTATGCTTTTTAACTGATTGTCTGCTTTTTTCACGGATGAGTGCATTTCAGCAAGTTCTGTACATTACTGCCATTACCAATTTTATACCCGTTGTACGGATGGCGCGGTTGGTTTAACCGTGCCATTCATATGACGGTTCCATGTGATGGGTGTAAGGAACCAAAGGCTGTGAGTTTGAATCACGTCTTGGCACTCAATTTTTTTCCCCCCGATTTTAAGACTTTTTAATTTTGTACAAATTATTTAATCTTTTAGTTGCAAAAATTCTCTGTTGTGAAGAGCTCTAGAAACATTTGGGTGATTGATTGTATGATTGATTAATATATATCTTTTTTGTATGGGCGGCCGTTAGGGCCAACACACTCTACTGCCCCCATAGAAGCTTTCACAATTACAAGAACTTGTTTCCTTCAGTGTATTACACCTCAGATATCTTGTGTTCAGTATATTGCCCTGTATGTATCCTGGGGTTGCTATGAGTGCGTACGCACTCCCGAAATCATGAAAAGTCTGGATTTTTAAGATAGTCGCGTTAATAATATACTTAATTTCATTGTTTTTATTTTCTGTAATAAATATTAAATTTGTGTTTTTTACATCTTTATATTTCAACCAACATTCTATCGTTGGGTCAGTTTTTTGGCATTAAATTTGCCATGTATTAAGAATTGATTCAACCATCTCTGCCTCCCTGACCACAGTAATAGTCCATCTTTGCACACACTGTACCTCCATTGGCAATCTTGGATATAGCTCAGTGCTGAATCTTCATGTCCCTCAGTTTTTTTCTCTGTATATTACCTTCCAGTATACTCCTCAGATTGAAAGGTGTTCCCCTCATTACTGTCAATTTCCTATTCTCAGTGTGTGTCCCTCAGTATCCTTTTCTCAGAATCTTGCATGAATTTATAAAATGCCATTTCGTTTAATTTACGATAATAATATCCAAAAATTAAATTGTTCTAAAAACTATTAATTACGAATTATTATTTTTAATTATTATCGTTAGCTTATAAATTACCTTAAAGAGATAAAATCTGCTAAAAATAATATCAAAAATCAAATAGGCGTAGTCGCTTGTCATTTTTAGAGGTGAATAGTTGAATAGGCTAAAAGCTAAACAGATTGTTATTAAGTTAATAGAACGGGATGACGATGGTAGCTCATCATTATTGAAATTGGATTAATATCCTTGATGGCCTTCAATTACTGTGACCATGGACTCAACATATATTGGGACTTTTTATTTTTAATCTAATTTTGCATGCATCGTTGAATTTATCTTTCCTGTATAAAAAATCATCCTGTAACACATAATTAAAGAGTTAAATATTATTCTAAATATTATTCTTTTCATTTCTTAAATACATTTTTTTATGGGTCTGAGATATGCATGTAGCCAATGGTGGTGCTAGCGGGGGAAAAGGGGCATTTTTTCCCCGGATAATTTTCTTGCCCCCCCCCCCCCCCCT